CTGAAAAACAGGGGGTTAGTACTAGGAAGCTACTCAAGACTGCTGTAGACTCTAAACTGTTTCCTCCTTCTTCAGTTATCCCTTTCCTAAACACTGCAGTGTAAACAAGCCTGAACTGTAGAGCTGTAACAGGCGTAGCACCTTGCCAGGGTTGGGGTTGGGGCCGGGGCCCAGTGGGGGGGCTGGGTCCTGTCCATATTCAGCGTCTCACCAGCCTGCCCCTCCTCTCTGCTGCAGGTCGGGTCGTGGACATATACTCAAAGTTTGACGTCATTGTGAGTACCATGCGACGTGCACAGGTCAAGGGGGGGGTCAGGTCTCCAGATGGGATAATGCAGCCCCTGGGGGCTGGACGCAGAGCTGGGAGGCTGCCCCCCCCCCCCCGACACCAGTAACCCCACTGCTCCCCTAGAACCTGGCGGCTGAGAAGACCTACAACAACTTGGACGTGACGGTGACGCGGGCACTGCAGCACCGCTCGCAGTACTTCGAGGGCGTCCTCAAGTGCTACAAGCATGAGACCTTGGAGACCATCATCAACCGCTTAGTGGAGGCTGAGGTAGGCGGCAGGGGCAGGCACCATCCCACAGCCCTGGGCCCACCCGCTGTCGGGCCTTCCCTACTTCCTGTCCCCCACCCCAGAGGTACTGGCATGTCAGTGGGTGTTGGGGTGGCCCTGGGTTCACGGGGGCAGCAGTGCTTCTGGCCATCTGACCCATGCGCTGTGTCTGTCCGCGCGTCTGGCGCAGGTGCACCGGCTGGTGGTGGTGGACGAGCAGGACGTGGTGAAAGGCATCGTGTCTCTCTCAGACATCCTACAGGCGCTGATGCTCCCAGGGGGGCCACAGCCCTGAGTGTGGGGACGGGGAGCCCTGCCTGACACCCCACCCTGGGACTGTCTGTGAGGGCTGGCACCAGACTGCAACCAGGACCAAGCTCTTGGGGCCGTGCTCCCTATCCCACCCCTGGCTGCCCATACACCCCCTCCTTCACCAGCATCATGCCTGCCCCCATGCCTACACCTGGGCCAGCCGGGACGGGGCTGGGGGCTCTTTGTACCAGCAATAAGCAGACACCCTCGAGATGGGCCTCTTCCCTCCTGCATGCCCTTTGCCTCCTGGCACTTGGTCAGGGTGCTGCCCTGGGGGGGTTCCAGCTGCCAGGAGCCCTGGCTCCTGGCTCCAGAGGAAAGCTGTCTCTGGGACCAGCGTAGAGACTAAAAAGGAGCTGTGTGAGGCTGCCTGGAGGCATGGCCACTGCCCCTGCCCCTAGTCCTGCCCTAGGGCTTAGGGAAGCACCTGCCAGGGATGCTCTGCAGGCACGGCTGCACCCCCCCCTTAGGCCCTCTGTGCTCCCTTGTGGAGCTGCTGGGGCTCGAGGCATGAAGCTCTCGGCCCTGTTTCCAGCAGCCTACAGCAGCAGCATATTCCCCTTGCCCCCATAGAGGCTGCAGGTTTATTTTTACCGAGCACCATTTTTTCTATCCGGGTCTCCGTCCAGCGCCGGCATCACCTTGGCTGGCACCCGTGCGTGTGTGCGTGTGTGTGCGCACACGTGTCATGTTTCTGGGGCCATCCCGTGGCTCTGTAACTCAGACCAATAAAGACCTGACGTACAGCACGTGTCTAGTGCCTCACTACCGCAAACCTACTCGGGACCTGTCGGGGGAGCCAGTCAGCTGGGGCAGGCCAGAGCAGCCTGTGGGTGGGGAGTCCGAGGGGGGCAGCTCGCAGCCCCTCACTTCCCCTGGGCTCCGCGATGGAGGGATGCTGCGGCCTTCCCGGGCTGCAGCCATGGAGGCCGACCTGGTGCTGGTATCTCAGCCCCGTGCTTATCCCTGGAGCCCAGGAGGGCACAGAGGCAGCTCTGCTCTCCCTGGCGGCTGCGCTCTTGCCCCAGACAATGTGCCCCCGCCTCACAGCCTGACTGGGACAACCCCCACCTGGGAGGAGACCCTGGTCTGTGCTGCTGCCAGAGGGGCTGGCCCTTGGGCAGGGGCGCCTGGGAATCTGCTGAGCCCGCAGCGCCGGGCAGGCCCTAAATCCCTGTTTGTTCCACCCGTGGGTTTTGTCAAAGGCTGGGAAGAGCCAGGGGGGGATGTAGCCCCCACCCCGGCACCGGCAGCCCTGGGAGCTGGGCTAAGGCCAGGCAAGGGCCCCTCTGCCTGACGGTGGCAGGCACCAGCCCGGGCTGCGATGCCTGGGTTCCAGCTTCAGCTCGGGGCAGCTCGGGTGCCGGCCAGCCGGACGCCTGGGTTCCCTCCCCAGCACGTGGTGTGCTCCTTGAGGTAGGCGTGGGGCCCAGGACGCTTGGGTGCTGCCGCCCTCCATCGGGGGGGCACCCAGTGCCACCCCTCATCTCTGCCCTCCCCCCAGGCCTCTGCGACAGTGGAGAGGGGATTTGCTGGCCTGCCTCAGCAGCCCCCTGGCCTGTGGGAGCGGATGGGGCAGCTGGGGGTGGATTGGGCCAGGGGGCAGCTGTGCCCAGCTCTCGGACACGGCCCGGTCTCAGAGGCCCCCACTGCGGCCTCCCAGGCCCGGCCCCATACGGCGCTGAGCTGACACATTCCTGCCCGGGTGGGAGGCTCTGGGCCTGACTGGGGCC